TGGGACATGGCCAAGGGAAGCTGCTGCAGCCACGAGGGGAGCAGGAGGTGAGCTCTGAGCTGTTCTTACCTTTCCTGGGGAGAATGGTTGGGGTGTCCCAGTTGCAGAACAGGCAGTGGGTGGCACTCTGTGTCCTGGGGCTGACCCCACTGTCCTGCCCCAGACAGGGCTTTGGGAATGTTTTGGGAACTCCCTGCTAGCCTGGAGTTCTGGGGCAGCAAAGCTGAGCAGAGCCTGCTCCCAGGCTGGCAGGGACGGGACTCCAGGAGTTTTGGGGCATGAACACCCATTCCTGAGTGCTGGAGGAAAGAACAGGAAAGCAGAGGAGCAGGAGCTGTGCTGTGAGGAGGTGCTGGGGGCTCTGGGGATGAGCAGGGCACGGAGGGGCAGCTCTGAGTGTGCTCTGCACTGCTGRATTTGGTGTGCAGAGCYKCTGAGCTGTGCCCCAGGAGCMCTTTGCTGTCCTCTCCAGGCATAAYTGCCCTCAGCCCTTGTCACCAGGGCTGTCCCTGCTCACCATCAGCATGGCACTGCTGSTATTTGTTGTCTGGCTGCTGCCTGGGTTTGGTTTTGGTGGCACTGGAAGGCATTTGTTGGTGGCAGGGAACCCTGGGGCTGGCTGGAATGCTCTGCAAGGCAGCTGSTGAAGCAGACCTGAAACAAAACTCTGCTTTTCTGGGCTTGACAGCTCCTTGTCTGCTGTTGGAAGGCAGAACTGGGCTGGCACGGCCTGAATGGGCTGTTCTCCTTCAAATGCTGCTGTGGTGAAGGGCAGGGGCTCCCTGAGAGCAGGGGAGTGCTGGGGGCTCACAGGGGAGTGAGGAAACTTGTTCTCTGCTAAATTCTGCAAAGCCAGGGCTTGTGCCTGCTGGGGAGGGGAAGGGGAGAATCCTTGCTGAGATGTAGAAGGAAATCTGTACTAGCCAATTCCAATAAAGTTGTATTAATCTCTTAATCTGTTCCTCTTTTTATCTCGCTAATCTGCTTACTCTCACAACACGCTTGCCTTTTCTTGCCTCTTCTATTTTTAATTCTATTTYCCCCTTCTATTTCTATTCTAAGCCTGGGGTTGGTATTTTGGAGGTGCTGCCTGGCTGTAACCCTGGTTTAAGGGCTGGGCACTTGGTTTCCTTTAAAACCTGTATTATGTAATGGTTTGTAAGTCTGAAATGCTCTGAACTGATGCCTCCCCACCAGCCCAGCTGSGACATCATCCCATCATCCCATCTGGGATGTTCCTTGGCAGAGGTTGGCTCTGAATAGTACCTGAATAATGGCCAAAAATTATAAAAAATGGGCACAGGAAATTGTCTTAGCAACTTGTTTCTCAAGCCCCAGAGGTGAACAGCTGCCAGGCTCTGGCCAAGGCGTTTCCAGCTCTGYAGGATTCCAGGAGCTACCTTAGTTTGGGAGAACCAGATGGCAGAGGAGGATCTGCTGTCCAGTCAGTGTGCCAGCAGGCTGGGAAGGGCACTGCAAGCTGCTCGTGGAAGCTGCAGSAACAGCACTGTATTTGCATGTCATTTCCATTCGGGTACTTCAATTAAAAAAAAAAAAAATCAAGGAGAGAGGTTGAAAAAAATGACCTCTGCAGCACTTGATTATAGCTGATGAATTAAACCTCTAGAGTAAAAAAAAAAAAAAATAATGTTACAAATGTGTACTCCAACTGCTGCAGGAGCCACCCTGCACTCACCTGGAGCTGCCCGAGCTGTGGCTCACACTGGGGGTGAGCTGGACCACGATTCCCATGTTACCACAGTCCATCACCATTCCCGTGTTACCATGGTCCATCACCATTCCTGTGTTATTTATCATGGCCCATCACCATTCCTGTGTTATTTACCATGGTCCATCACCATTCCCGTGTTACCATGGTCCATTCCCGTGTTATTTACCGTGGTCCATCACCATTCCTGTCACCATTCCTGTGTTATTTACCGTGGTCCGTCACCATTCCCGTGTTACCATGGCCCATCACCATTCCTGGTCCATCACCATTCCCGTGTTACCATGGTCCATCACCATTCCCGCGTTATTTACCATGGTCCATCACCATTCCCGTGTTATTTACCATGGTCCATCACCATTCCTGTGTTATTTACCGTGGTCCATCACCATTCCCGTGTTACCATGGCCCAACCCCAGTTGGAGCTGGGTGTGGTGCTGCTCTCGGTGCTGTGGCTCAGTCTGGCCCTGCCTGGGCTGTCCTGCTCTGCTCTGTTGAACCATTCCCAGGACTCTACTCCCCTCCCTGGCCCTTCTGCCCCACGGCTCTGCACGTGCCTTTAGTATTCCTTAATATTTAATCCTATTTCACAGCCTTCCTTAATATTTAATCCCATTTTTTGTTTTAGTATTACGGCCCTTTGACTGCCCTGGGCTGTCCCTCTCCACCCTCCTGCCCTGTCCTGCCCCAGCCCTGCTCTGCCTAATTCCCTGCTCACTTAACRAACTCCCCATGTATAAACATAACCTTTATTGCACACAGCGCTGGGTTTTTTTTCATAGAAAAAGGTATTAACACATAAGCATTTGCAAATTGAAGCAACTCCTGCTGTTTTCAGAACAGTAAAATAGCATGCAATGTCTC